TTCCTGCAGCTCCACCTGCTTGTCAAAATCCCCCTACTCTGCTTCTGAAAAAGACTCAGCTGAAATTTTGATCATAGAACTCTCATCAAACACAACATTTCTGCTCATGATCACGCATTTCTCAGAAGGAGACCAAACTCTGTATCCCTTGACACCATCTCCATAGCCCATAAACACTCCCTTCTTAGCTCTTGGTTCCAGCTTTCCTTCATTAACATGATAGTAGACTGTGCAACCAAAGACTCTTAGAATAGAGTAATCAGCAGACCTACCTGACCACACCTCATTAGGTATTCGACACTCGATCCTAGTATGTGGTCCCAGATTGATCAAATAACAAGCCGTGTTTACTGCCTCAGCCCAAAACCTCTTCTCTAAACCAGCATTTGAAAGCATGCACCTCGCTCTCTCCAGCAATGTCTGGTTCATTCTCTCTGCTACACCATTCTGCTGTGGTGTATGCCTGAGTGTATGATGCCTAGCAATCCCTGCATCCTTACAAAACTGATTGAACTCTGATGAACAGAATTCCAAACCATTATCAGTACGAAGCCTCTTAATCTTCTTCTCCGTTTGATTCTCCGCCAGTATCTTCCACTCCTTAAAGCTGTTGAAAGCTTCACTTTTATGTTTCATGAATGTTATCCAAGTCTTCCTTGAATAATCATCAATCATGGACACAAAATACCTGTGACCTTTCAGCGACTCCACCTTGGAGGGACCCCAACAATCTGAATGGATGTAATCCAGTGTGCCATTTGTCTTGTGAACAACCTTAGGAAACTTCTTTCTATGTAGCTTCCCAAACACACAATGCTCACAGAACTCAAGACTCTTGGTCTTATGACCACAAAGAAGATCTTTCTTCGATAAAATCTGCATCCCACGCTCACTCATATGTCCAAGTCTCATATGCCACAGCTTGTCCATATCTTCCTTGCGAACCTCTGGAGATGCAACATTTGCTGAACCTAAAGCTGTAGAGCCGTCCAGAAAATACAGAGTACCATGAATGAAACCTCTCAAAATCACAACTGAACCTCTAAAGACATTCAGAACTCAATCTCCACCTGAATACTTGAAACCTCTGCTGTCCAAAAGACTAACTGAGATCAAGTTCTTGGACATGGCCGGAACATGTCTAACTCCAGTCAATGTAAAAATTATACCCTCATGTGTCCTGAGCTTAATGGAACCGATTCCTGCAATATCGCAAGCAAAGTCATTCGCCATCTTGATCTTGCCATCAGTCACTCCCTCATACTCTGAGAACCATTCCCTCCTTGGACACATATGATATGACGCTCCTGTGTCTAGAACCCACACATCCCTAGAATGTGTTTTTCCATGAGCAACTAGAGCAATCTCGTCATCAGACTTAGCTTCATCCTCGGCTACCGCAGCGGAACTAGCTTGCTTCTTCTTCTTGGGGCACTCTGATTTCCAATGCCCTCTCTCTTTGCAATAATGGCAAATATCAGTTGGTTTAGGACCCTTTGAAAATGACTTTTTGTCTCTCGACCTTTTGCATTTTCCAAAAGTTCTTTCCACCACCTACAAACAACCCAGAAGCTTGGTCATCTGTACCAGAACTAGATGCCTTGTGACGCAACTCCCTGCTATGAAGTGCCGACCTGACTTCCTCCAAACTCACTGTATCCTTACTCCCTATGAATGACTGAACAAAGTTCTCATACGATTTAAGAAGTGAAACCAATAAAATCAGTGCCGCATCCTCATCCTCCACCTTAACGTCTATATTCCTCAGATCTAACATAATGGAATTTAGACTATCAAGGTGATCCTGAAATTGTGTACCTTCCTGCATCCTCAGAGCGAAAAGACGTTGTTTTTGAAGTAGCTTCTTAGTCAGAGACTTCGTCATGTATAGACTCTCCAACTTCAACCACAAGTCAGCTGCAGTATCAACACCAGAAACCTCGATGATGATCTCATCTCCCAGACACAACAAAATCGTTGAATACGCCTTCTCTTCAATAACCTCCATCTCAGCGGTAACAGATTCAGCCTTCTTCCCTGACAACGGTGCCCAAAGACCTTGTTTCTTCAGTAACGCCTTCATCTTGATTTGCCAGAGACTGAAACTGTTCCTTCCAGTAAACTTGTCTATCTTCATATTCATCCCAGACATCTTCTCACCAGATTCAGCCCGAAGCTCTGATACCAGTTTGTTGTGACAGATGTGAGAAGATACAAATTAACAGATTGGATGAATAGAAAAGAGAGACACAGAGTAACATGTGGTTCGCCCCTAACGGCTACGTCCACGGACAAAGAGAGTAATTTATTGATGGAGGCGAGTTTTCAGAGTACAATTTCGTGCTACAGACTAGGGTAAAACCCTAAAGATATATATAAGAAAGCCTTTAATGAAACTTTCCATATTTCTCGGACTTGACACATATCGACCGATACATTAACTCTTGTATCGACCGATATGTCTCGGGTCAGATCGACCGATACATGACACCTGTATCGATCGATTTGTCAGCTCGCAGATTCAAGGCATATTTCAACACTAATTTTAGCTCAGGAATGATCTCACCATTATTTTCTCTTTCCTTCATTGACCTCTATCATAATACATGTTTCAGCAAATATGAAATTACTTTCAGTATTATATTCTCAACTTGAAATGTAGCAAGTCCTGGTCTACATGCTGCTACTGGACCTGACCTTGCAGAACAGTGTGCTACATTGGTACAAACACTTTCTTTCACTATTTTCTAAAGCAGAGTTTTTTAAATTTATTGATTAAGGCATTACATCCCTTATATATTAATTGAGAAACATTTGAAAAGATGTAACCCATGTGGCATCTCTCTATGTCTTCTAATTTAGTTTAGAAGGATTATAGAGCATCTTATATAGACCATAGTCTAAAAATTATACTCTCTAGCAATATAATATTTTACAAGCTATAATTGGTCGCATATATCAAATATTTATTGTTTTCCAAACTTTCCTTAAATAAAACCTAAGAAATTACCTAATGTGATTAAAATATATATTTGGCAATTATTGATTTTAAACAATAAAGATTTGATAACTATCTGTATATTTTTTTTATTTCTTTATTATTAAAGTTCTATATTATATATATGTCATATAATTAATTGTATATTTTGAAGTCATATACATCCGAACGGAACCCCAATCAAACCGAGTAATATAATTACTTTTGGTTATTTTGATATTTTTAGTTTGGATTCAAAATACCCAAACTGTATTGGTTAAAATGATTATTTTTTTGTACAAAAATGCGAACATATCTCGGATTACATTACTTTTCTGAATATTTCAATTTTTTCATACATTAAAACTAAATCCATATAAATTACATTTTAATGCAAGACTTTGAATGAAATTATTACAATAAATGAAGTGATTATTTAGGAAAAAAACAATAAATGAAGTGATTATATAAAAGACAATAAATGAAGTGAATAGAAATGCTTAAAAATGAAATGAAAATATACAGAAAAATCATTTAAAAATAGGTAAGTATTGTTTTTCTACTTCTCTTTTTATAGAATAGATGAAGAAATAATTTTACTGAAATGGGTTTTATGTTACTATATATACATATATATATATATTATATTTTATATCATTTAAATTAAACTATACATCATATTAAAATACATACTTATATTTTGATATTTGCATTGAACATATAAGAAAAGTTAATATTTTAATTTTGAAATCTGTCGTTTTTTTTCAATGATTATAAACTATTGAAACTACTAAACTTCTCACATTAAAAAAAAATTGTTGGTGTAAAATTTTCTTAAATAATCATAAAATCATATGATTAGAAATCTCATTTAAAAAATATCCATATTAAAGTTTTCTATATATCTATGTTAATATCATTTAAATTTAATTATATATCATATACGATATATAAGATTGATTGCTTTGATTTATTTATCCTAATTGCAATTAAACAAGAGTGATCGTTAGATTTATATGCACAAGCCAATTTATCACATAACAGTAACTGATTTCTTAGTTATTTAATATATACACTTATTATTTTATTATTTCATAATATGAAGAAAAACCTATAATAAATAATAAATGTAAAATAATTATTTTACAAAAAGTGCAGATCTTAACCTAAGTATGTATCTCTTTAATTATTTTAAATCTTAAGTATTTTCTAAATCTCAGAACAAAACAAACAAACAAAATGAGAATAAACTTCAAAATCAATATTTATATCGAGCAATAACCAATATGTAAAAGACACAAAAAGATAAAAAAAAATTGAAGATAGATAGGAATGACACGTGAACGTAAACTTCTCATAACTATAATTATTTTTAAAATTTTTGAATCATGATATAAAACTGAGCTGACATAGTTTCATTGTAACAAAATATAACTAGGATTTTTCGACCTAAACGTTAGGTTCTTTTCGGTAAGTGATATTTTGACCTAAAACATTTTTATAAATGAAATCAAGTCATCAGTAAACAAATTATGTAATTAAAAAAAAAATTAAAAAATCATTTAAAGACCAAAATATTAATTCAATCAAGAATATAGATTTATTTTCCTATATAATATTTTTAATTATTTTTATATAATTTTTTTTGCGCAAGCCTCATGTCTTATCCTAGTTTTGTATTATCATTTAGATGATAAAGAAAAATAGGAGTATTTTCCGCTTAATATATCTTTCTTGACAGAGTGGATACCAAACAGGGATGGCCAAAGTAACAAATGCCTATGATCTAACTGCGAGTTACTTGGCGAAGGAAAAATAAGTTCATTTTATACATAGGAGACTGAAAAAACAAAAGAATCATGCTCCTTGAATTCACTCTCTGCTATGTTGTTCATCTATTTGTGTCCCTATGTTGGAGCTGCTCCATTGTTGACTGCTTAAAAACTTTTATCTTTTGAATACCGAACATTTTGTGTCTGTGGAATTGGTTAGTGATCAGTCTCTTAATCTGGAAATCCTAGCAATGTTTTTTGGTTTCTTGTTCAGGAGGGTTATCCACACAGTAGGACCTAAGTATGCAGTAAAGTATCATACAGCAGCTGAGAATGCTCTCAGTCACTGCTATATATCTTGTCTGGAGCTTCTTATAGATAATGGGCTTCAAAGGTGTGTGAAGAAGTGAAATTCCTTCGTTTTTCTTATTTCACTTACAACAGTTATATTCTTTAGTACTTTTGTATTTTTCATTGTTTCCTAAACTCAAGAACTTGATTTTGGTTTACCTACAACATTACAGTATTGCTATGGATTGTATATACACAGAGGCCAAAAACTACCCAAGAGAACCAGCTGCTCATGTTGCCATAAGTAAGACAGTTCGTGAACAGTCTCATTTCTTTCAATAAGTAACCTTTAAGTTTCCTAATCAGGTGTTGTGCGCAGTCTCCAGGAACTGTCCGTCACTTTCTATAGAAGCAGAAAAATAAAATCAGTGCCGTTGTTTTCTGTACCACCAGAACCTATGATACAGAGATATACAAAAGGTATAGTAAATTCGGCGCAGAAGCAATGTAGTGTTTGCTAAAATTGTGACTAACTAAATGTAGATTACTTCCACTTTACTTTCCTCGAGATGAGCACGAAGAGGAGGTTGCCATCTCAAAGCCCCCTGCTGATGTTGGGGATGAAAATGGTTCAACCATTATAGACGAACATAAAATCAGAATACAGGCGCTGCCAGATAAACCTCCAGTCAGGTATTTTCCAGCTCTAGTTGAGCGCTCTGCCACTAATCTTGCTTTGGTACGAAGGTTGGTCTGCTTCGCTCTTTGCACTTTATAGTCTGTTCCTCGTCTTTAGATTAGTTGATTGATGATACCTACATATATGATTTCAGGAACTCGAAACATCTTGACTCATATTTGGATCCGACCTTCATGTCTTTAATTAAAGATCCAGATGTAAAGCGCAAGGAACAGTGGGAGAAGAATGCACAATCACAAAGTGGATTCAGTTTTGTTAAAGTGCTAGGGTTTGGTGATCTGAGGGGACCTCCTCTCTCTCCTGCTGAGGAATACTTACTCCATTCGCGGTACCTAGCAAAAGGTAATTCTCTCAACCTTTCGGAAATAGTTACAAACCAATCCTTATTTTAAAGTCTTATAAATTGTCTAGCTTAACTAAGTTGATTATCAAATCTACTGCGGACCCTCTCTCTCTGTAGATTTTATCCCTAAGTACTACATATGAACTTCTTAGTTGAGAGAGTAATAAGTAGCTCTAGGGTAATTTGACCAAGTATCACTCACAAAGATATACACAAAAATCCCAAAACAGTGCTCGTTGATTCGCTACCAATGCCTTTTCTCTCGTACATCCAGACATATTACATGAGAATAACCTATGGTTAGTAGAGGTCATAGCTACAAGAAAAATAAAATGAGGATTACCCCAAATACTGCAACGGTCCAAGATCTTTTCGCTCACAAGGAATGAATTATGACGTCGTTCGATGGTCTTCGTTCTACTGATTAAGAAAGGCACGACACCTCTGTAAATGAAACACGCAGATTTAGAATAATGTTCAAAAGACCAGAGAACTATGACTCCTACGAATTACCAGAAAAATGTCAAATAGTTGGAAAACCGGGGAGAATCAGAAAGGCAAATTTCTCGGTCCAATGACTCTCGTAAACTGGTTGCCTCTACCAGTCTTTCTTTGGAATTTCCTGAAAAAGAGGATTGTCTATTGCTTCTTTGGAGACTACATTATGGTTGCTTCCCGAATCAATGACAAAGCTGCATACACGCTCTTTTATGGTACAAGTGGGGCGAAAAATAATAGTTCGTAACCACTTGTCATCTTCTCGAGGAGGTGTAAGGCACGATCTGTAGTATTAAAGTTCGTCCACTATCACTCGTTGTGTGGTGAATTGTGTCGTCGTCGGTATCCTCAACTTCCTTCTAGGAATCATAAACTTCTTGGTCGTTGATTAAATCATTAATTACTAAGCCCTGGCGTGTGGCATGAGGACAAGATGTTTGTCTATGCCCTTACTCTCTGCAGCGAAAGCAATGAAGTGCATTAAGCCGCGTGGATCGACATACTTGTTGTTCTTCTCGTGTTGGCGGTTTGGTTGTTGCGTTTGATGTCTCGCCGGCCTCCTTAGTTGCTGTGGGTGGTGCGTTGCTCGCTGGTTGGTCTTGATTATGAGAAAGATTGGATGGCGTAGCCCAATTAGAGGTTCGAGATTGTTGTTCGAAAGAAGTGGCGCGTCTATGTGCTTCACCAATCATTGATGGATCAAATTGCGCCACTGCTGTTTGGAGCTGCGGCCGGAAACCACCAATGAAATGAGAGACAAGTTGTACTTGACTATTGTTGATCTTATTCCGCGTTAGTAAGAGAGCAAATTCTTCTGCATAATAATCAACACTACGACTTCCTTGTCTAAGGTTCTGGAGCCTAGTATACATGGTTCGCTCGTAGTTGTGAGGTAAGAAGACATAAGTGTTTCGTGAGTTTATCCCATGATTGGATTGGTGCTTTCCCGGTTTGAGAACGTGTTGTTTTAAGCTGCTTCCACCATGTTGCGGCATGACCACGTAATCACATTTCTACAAGCGGGACACGTCGTGCTGGAGGAACTTGTTTGAACTCGAGTATCTCTTCTACAAAAATCAACCAGTCGATGAGATCATCGCCACATAACCCTCCATGAAATTCGGGTATCGGGTATATCAACTCGAAAACTCTTTTCCCAGTTATTATTATTTTTATCGCGACGTTGCAAGTCTTGAAAATAGAATTGACGATGAAGCTCTTCCTCTTCATCTGAATGAGTTGGTTGTGCTCTCTCGTTATCTCCAAGATTGTGACGTCAGTGCTGAATATGTTGATGATTTTGCGGTAATGGTAATTGACGTCGTGGCGGCGGATGTTGTGGTGTATCGGTGGTATGGGGTTGTTGACGACGAGATGGATTTGCGGGTTTACGCGAGGCGTTAATGCCATTGTTAAGGCATCGATAAGGGCTGCTAGGGTTCCCACTGTTTTGCCAAGTTGTTGGATGGAAGTTTTAGTTGCTGTTTGCATCTCAATTAGGGTACGTAACTCAGTCTGATCCGTCACAACGTCCTCCAGGTTGTGATCCCGATTGTCACCGCTAGTGGCTCATGTTTTATTTACCATTAAAACACAAAGTTGTTCCCGAAACGTTCTGATTATGATACCAACTGATAGAGAGCGGAAGCTCAGTAAGTCAAAGATCAAGGGTTTTGATCTCAAACTTGGTAACTTGTTGACGAAGGTAAATTCACAAACAAGGATCTTGGCCTGAATACTCTTCGCAGTGCTCGTTTAAAGCTCTTAGGGTCGCGGATAATCTTCGCAGTGCTTGTTTAGAAGCTCTTAAGAAAAACAGAATAACTTTATTATTTGAATTGTGTCTAACAAGGATCATCTAACTCCCATTATATACTAGTTATAAGGTCGGTTAAGAAATTCCTAAATCTAAATAGAAAACATAAAAACTTAAAGGAAAAGGCAATATGACGAAAAGGAAAGTCCTAAAAGAAATAGAAGTTGCGATCGTTAATGATCACAAATTACGCGGCATCTATTTAGCTTGGGAGTATCGATCAAAAGATATGTGGATTCTTACCTCTACAAGTATCTGAACACAAAGGCAGTCTTCTCTGTAAATTAAGAAAAGTCAAGAAATCCTAACTTTCCCCGAGGTCTCGGATTCTCTTCGAGAGTCAACGACAAATAATCAAGTAAACTTGTAAAACATGAAAATGTAGAAAATGAATTTAGATAATAATATATATTTATTTTGAATTTGCGTATGAGCGCTCTATAGACAAAAGCGTACATGAAGCTTGTCTGGAAACATGATTCGCAAAGGAATTCATATAACACAAGCAGTAAGCGAGACTAAGTTTGCTAGCTCTACCATATATGTCGAGAGAAACCCATGTGGCTGTAACTCGTTTAGCAATAGACGAAAAAGAAAAAAAGGTTTAAAGGATTTGGGACTGGACCTTAAGAAAGGCTGCCTTCGTACCCCTTTCGAGGATCAAGTCGGACGTAGTTCAATTAAAAGAGTGGACCAAGAGATCAACTGCCGGAGCAAGTTCATTTGGTAATTGAGTGCCAGTGATAGAAACCGAGCTTTTCGATAATAAAGCTAAGGGTCTCTAAGTGAAATGAGTTGTAGAGTCTACAGAAATCAGAATCGTCGAACAAAGATGGAGAATCATCTTAGTATAACTCTGTTGTTGCCACCTACGTTCAAGTTCTTCTAAGTTAACAAAATTTCTCTAGGTCTAAATCTTTGGGTGCTTGCGCCTTTAGCTTTACCTCCCCTTATATATGACTTCGAGGTCAGTTCCCCTTTCCTTTTTTTCCCCTCGGTCGGGTTTATCGCTTCGCGGAAATATTCCTTTTCTCGTCAATCTTCATCATTATATTGGAAACTTTACATTTATCTTCAGATTTCGCAAGATTTATCTTATTCTGCGAGTAAATATACACCATCATAGCATTGCTGGGTTCAATTTCATATGAAATCGCAAGCGGGTCTTTAGCCGCGTTCTAGGCCTCTTTGGGATGTTTTACAACTTAAACATTTTTACGGTTACTTTGAAACAACGTTTCTTGATATGACGTCGATTTACCGAGGAAAACCATGACCTTCATTCAGGTTTCAAACTTCTCTTATAGTTTAGCCAATTCTGGTGTTAAGTTAATAGTTGCCGTTTATACGATAACCATGACCTTCATTCAGGAAAACAAGACTTCGGGGTTTTTATCGTAAAGTCCCAACGGTAACTCTCAAGATAAAACATGGGTGGACCCATCGAGGTTCAACGGAAGACATAAAGTACGGTCCATGTCACCTTATGACGAGTCTAGAGAAGTTGATCCAACTCACCGAGCAAGCGAGTTGGATTGCTCGTTCGGTCCAATTTGCCTTGGGGGCGAGTTGGACTACTGGTTCGGTCCATCTTGCCCCTGAGGCAAGTTGGACTGCTCTTTCGACTCAACTCACCTCGGGGGCTAGTTGGATTGCTTGTTTGGTCTAACTCGCCACCTGGGAGAGTTGGACGTGCTTCCGGCTTGCCCCGAGGCGAGCCAGATTGATCGAGCCATATTCTCTTCATTGTTTCGATGCTCGAGATCCGTTTTTCCCAGGCTTCGAGTAACCTTTCTCGAGGACTTACCGTATGAATATTTTTTTGGAGTTCATACGAAACTCAAATTCGGTTTTCCTGCTATATATATATATTTTTTGAATATTATCTCTTTCTTTTTTAAAGAGAAAGATTTTTTGGGAAGTTTCAGTTATTGATTTCGTCGTAACCGATTTTGACCCCAACAATTAACCCCCAACTTGTTAGAATTATGAGGTTATAGCAAGCGGTTTGGGGGGTTTTGTAAGTTAAGAAGATTCAATGGTTGAAAAGGTTCGTTGAAAGTGGTCTACTCACTCCTATGAGAGAGGAATGCAATAGGATTGGGGCTGCGCCTTGTGAAGGCTGCCTATGTACCCTTATAGAAGGGATCAAGCCTCTCGTAGTTTGTTCTGGAGTTAAGGTTCTTACGTCATGTTTTCCAGTGAGACCTTTATGGTTTAGCTGTGTGTTGCGTAGAGATTATCGGGCATGTTTCTGACGATGACATTGTATATTGGACCTTTCTCGGCCTTGACTTGCCTCGTAGGCTGTTTACTTTGGTTGAGTGTGGCCATATTTATGTTTTCGAGACTGACAGCGTGCGGCTCTAAATCCTCATCGCTTTTGCGACTTTCATATGAAATTTGTTTTGCGTCTCAAGAGCGTATTAAGTGTTTGCATGAGTGTAAAGGGAAGACTATGAGTTATCATCTCATAATCTAACTCTGGGTGAACTGCTATACGCGTGGTCTGTTTTGAGAGTTTTCCACAAAGTGTAAAACTGCAGGATTTCTAAAGACGTTTGCGTATTAGCCAAGAGACAAATTTTGGAATCTCGTATCAGGGTGTTTGATACTATGCCTAGAGATGTTAGAGACAAGTGTGCTGGGTTTAGGGTAAGACCTAGGTCTAATCACGGTTTTAGGGGGTGCGATGACTACTTCGGCTTACCTTTTAACCTGATTCCATTCTGCTTTAAAGTCCGTGATACGTTCTTGGCTTATACGATTTGTATAGTAAGAATCGAGCATCTCTTCGAGGACAATTTTTAAGTCTCTTGAAAGTGCTAACCAAAATTTTGGATTTCTTTTATAGCGCTATTACCCTTGTGCCGGGCGTATGAGAGCTATCTCTACGAGATGGCTTATTCTGTTTAGGACATTAAGAGTTTCTTGTGATCAGAAACAAACATAATGGTAGATATTACTGTTTTGTGTCTTTGCGAAGGAAACATGTTTCAGAAGATGTTAGTGCGTATGACCGTTTGGCCTTCCAAGAAGGTGCTTTTATCGAGAAAGGTATTTTTGTCAAAAAAC